CTCCCGGAGATGAGACACACAGTAACCAGAAGGGACCATGCAAATGCCAATTGCAGTTGTCTGAAACAAGCAAATCACAGTCAACTCGCAGCACAGGATAGAGAAAAACATGGCGAGCCCTTTGAAATCCCTGCATCCTGCCGCTTTCCCCGGCGATGCCCCATGCTCCACGCTCATTACATACGTACAGTCTGTCTCACTGTGGCCATGTCTGTCGAACCGGGGAACATTCTGTGAAACAGTGGCATCCCGCCGACACTGCTGACTTTTTGTAAGTACATGTGTGTATTTTGCTTGTACTCCGTCCCGAATTTGTAGGTGGTGGTAGAGCAAGCAAATCCCTTGAAATTTTCAATTGCTTTAAGATGTAATATTCTTACATTGTGATATTCAGTTGCCACCACAGGTTGTATTCTGCTTCTTTTTGCAAACTTTGGTAGAACAGTTAGTAGTTGCTGTTGTTTCCATTGAAAAAGTGGATTCTTTTCTTTTCGTAAGAGAGTTTTAGTAGCTATCAGAGCAACTTAATATATTCATTGTTATTTAAAAGAAAGCCCATTCAACTAGAAAGCATTTAAAAAACAAAGACTCTTACTCTAATATGAGGTCTATAAAGAATATCTTTATGAAAAGAAAAATATTTATTTCAGATATGTCAAACTAGCTCTCTTTCCATTGACTTTTTTGATACCTAAAGACTCCTTTTTAGCATCCAAATCTAGACCACAAATGCTCCCTGCCCCATCTTTTGGCATTATCTGAGGCAGGGGTTACAAACCTAATGGCCGGTTAGTCATTGTAAGTGAGAACCAGAAGAGGACAATAGAGGGTGGTGGGGACTATGGCAAACTGAGAAAAGAATAGTTCTGTCTAAAGGAGGAGGCAGCTCCTGGCTTCGCCTGATTGTTTCCGTGTGCAATCTCCAGTTTTAAAAATTGACAATGATTCAAAACACGTCTCCACACGGTGCCACCCAAAATTGTGGGCTCAACAAAATTTATTTCCAAGTCCAATCTTGCTCTTAGGACTCCAGTTTGCAACCTAGAGCTGAATCTCCTCTTTGCTTTTCTACCAGCTGCTACTAACCTGCTCTTCCAAGAGTCATTTCATTTGACAAATATATCAAGACGTGGGCCATGCAAAATATTTGCTTTTCAGAGTGACGAGGCTCACACAGAGAAAGAAGATAATAGAGTCATTAATGTCATTAGTCAGTGGCTGGTATTGCTATAATTCATAACACTTCTGGGTGACATTATTTGTGCATTGTGATAAAAGATT